ATTATTTAATTATTGTTATTACCAAATCTTCAGAAAAAATCGATTTTCGGCTTCTGTTTGCCATTCCAAAAAGTGATAAGTGATAAGAAAAGTGGCAAGTGAAAAAAAAAAAGTGAAAGATTGTAATAATCCTTGTCAACGCACGGCTTCTCTTTGTCACTCCAGAAAATTTCACAGTATATTTTTTAGGTAAATGTAGGAAAATATAGGGTGAAATATAAGGTGATAAGTCAAATCAAGCGATAATTAATATAATTAATCCTAGAATATAATAATTGTCATCTTCCTATTAATTAAAAAGCAAGAAGTAGAACTGTACTGCATATCTCCGCTTGCGAGACTGTTATATGCTCTGACTACTTCAAAAAAAAAAATTCCAATTTTTGTTGATTTTTTAAGTTTTATTCTATCAAAAAAAAAAAGAAAACGATTGATTGTTTCGATCTACTTTCAGTCAGATTGATGATATATCATAAAGGAATTGAATGAACAGAAGAGAGAGGACAGAAATGGGACCGATTAAATTTTCATGGCCAAACATCCATATCTAGTAAGTGAATTGAACAGCGTTAAGACATGACAGCCAAACGAATTACTCTTTATATGTAATACATTTAATGGGCAAAGCGATATAGCAGCAGCGACAAATAGGCCTTAAAGTAGGCTTATCTGGGAATAGGCCTATCTTCACATACCTGCCAAAACATTTCCTCTAATCTCTTTCTTCCCTCACATTAAAAAAAAAAGCGCAATTACATTTGTGAGGAACCCTGGCACTACTAGGGACAACATTCAGATTCGTATTACTCTCTGGCCACGATTAGATAAATAGAGGAGAGTTTGGGATTCGTTGTACCAAAAATGGCCTAAGCCTAAAATGATATCTAGAGAGGATGATATAATGAGAAATGACATCAGCATTCTGATTGTTTTGTCTCTAACCAGAAAAGTATTTCAAACATATCATAGAAAGGATAGGTAAGTATCTTTTAGTGTTTACTTTAAATTTTAAAAATAAGGCGATAAAACTTCAAATCCTTTTCCGGATATTTATCAGCGACCTCTTCTTCTTGACTATTCTCTTTATCCGAAGATATTTCCACTCGAACAATGAGAGAGAAAAAAAAAAAGAAAACCTAATCCAAAGTATTATTACCTAAATAATCCTTTAAAGATGCTACCTATGAAAAAAAGTAAGGTTTCCATACATCTGGCAAGTATTCCAGGAAGGTATAGGTAGTGATACTACCGATCAGGACCATATCGGGTATAGGAAGTCACAATGCCGATCAGGAATGCATCCATAAAATAGTTTGACGTAGTATTACGTTTGACGTAATACTACGTCAAACTGTTTTATAGACACATTAGCATCTTTAAAAGATTGTTAACGGCATTATTCTGTTGACGTAACTAACTGAAATCATGCGACCGATACATTTCAAGAATTCAATCAATTAGTTAATGAGTCACATTGTCAATAAATTTCTGTTTACCTAATTACCAATATCAACTTTTAGGTTATTAGCTAATCAAACAATCGATTAGTACGCCTTAATAGTTCGAATTAAATTATTCATCAGAATTTAGCATTCTCGTCAAATAAGCTTAAAATCATTGATAAATTGTAGTAATCTGTTGGAAATAAATTGCGCCCTAATCCCAGAAATCCATTTTTGGCTAGTATAATGTTATTGGTTAAATTAATGGGAAAAGCCAATTGTTTGGGAGTAATTTCATTGCAAAAATGATAATTAAGGAAGACATAGAGAGAATTTAAGATGACACTAAGGACATTTATTGCTAATAAATTGTATAAGGTAACAAAAGATGTGTTGATGTTCTAATTATTAAGAAGTATTTTTATATCACAGCCAGATTCGTTTAATTTTTAAAGAATAAATCTTCGATTTAGGTAACATATTACTTTGACAGTATGCCAATCTTCAGCTGTTGAATTTATTGATGTCAATTTAAATAAGTCATGACTTGACAGGATTATAATCTTTTTTTAAAAATATTTGATTGTCCATTAAGCCTTGCAATACAAAAGGACCGCATTTTAAATGCTTGTTTTATAAAATTAAATTAATTAATGAGTGAAATGTACATGTAGTTTGTAATGGTGATGGTGATGTTTAACATTAGATGAAATCAACTATTTGCATTGATCACTCTAAAATTCAAATAAATTTTGAGAGAGAGAGAAATAAGATAATCAAGAAATCCGGAAAGGTATTCAAAAAACCAAACGGTTTTCTGGAAAATCCAAAGTCATCCTGTGATAGGAGAAAAGGATGGTGTTTGTATTAGATACGGAAGTTGCGGAAGTTCAGAAAGTAAACAAATATATCTCAATATAAACTATTCCGGTGAAAACATGAAAATCTTCGAACTACTCACAGAATATCAATATCATAGAGTTATGAATTTTTTAAAACTAATCTTTAAAATATCATAATATAATCCATAAATAATTCTTTTAAAAATAATTTTAGGAATAGAATTCAAAAAAAAAAAACTGTTGAAAAGATCTTGCGATATTTTCCCGATCCTTTAATCTATAGGTAATTTTATGAAATTAGAAAAAAGAAGGCATGACTAACCGAATTATTATCTGACTGGAACTTTGTAACAGTTGACCAGTTATTTGGAACATTAGAGGATAGGTCAATATTACTTGTAACACCAGTAGAAACGGTACCATGATCACTCTGAGAGCTGATAAGATTGGATGATGCGAATCGAATAATTTCAATCCATTTTAACATATCATCTTCACTGCAATAAATATCTTAATGATATCTAGAAGAATACTAAAATTCCCTTTAAAACTGATATAAACTATCGGCAAATGCTTTAAATCTAAATCTCTTCTATTTCCCCTTTAATATCTCCTTCTTTTCACACTCTAAAAGATCAAATAAAACTGTCTAATGAGCTAAATTTTTTGAAAATAATATTAAAAGTACAAATATATCATGAATAAAAATTGGATTTAAACTTGTTTGCTCTACTTTTATACTATCAAATATCGATTATTCATTTGAGAGTTAAATATATAAATCAATTCTTTGTTAATTTTCAAATACCAGAAGTAAGTTAAATGAACAGCAAATTACAACTAGTTGAACAGTATTAAATGTTTTAAAAATTAGGATATCGATTGTGACTTAAGAGAAACGGAGTTATGAATCTGGTCAAACTTGTCATTGTCACCAAATTTTAGATTAGCATTTCTCTAGGCTTTTTCGAAAAACTTACCAGTAAGTCTGGAAATGATGTTCGGTTTGCTGTTGCGTTATCACACGAAATACATGCGCTTTTTTGTTATCTTTTGAACGACAATATTCATATGCTATATCGACGATTGCTGATTTCAGGTCAATTTGACGAGCATCCGATGGAATGTTCAATAACTGTAATCAGTACTACACCAATTATCATTAATCAATTTCCTTACAACTATTGATATCAATCTAGAAATGCAAGGCCTATTATATCATTATGGTGGAATTATATGAATGTATTAATAATTAAAATAATAATTAAAAAAGTTTAGTGACCTTTTTATACTTGAAAAAGACTAGTAACTAAGGACGAAAAAGGATGAAATGTGCTGAGATTTATTGAAAAGATGGGGAGAAACCAAAATTAGCTATTAGTTTTAAGTTTGAGATAGGAGAAAGTCTTTTGCACTAGTTGTGACCAAATCTAAGTTTAAATCTTAAGTTTTAACTCTAACCTTAAGTCTAATATTTTCTTTCGTAACCTTACTATCCCCTACACCTCAAATCTACTTTATCTTTTGCCCTGATAGAAATGAAATTTAAAGTAAGACACCTATATAGAGAGTAAAGAGTAATAATAGTAATAGTAGCAGTAGTAGTAGTAGTACTACTACTACTACATACAAACAAATAGGCGAATAGCTTTCAAGTTCGATTATTAGCCAAAGGGAAGCTTTATTGTAGCTAGATAAACATTTAAATTCAAACTTTAATTAATTAAAATTAACTCTTAACTAAAAGAGAATGAGAAAGAATGGAAGTGAATTTGGACTAATTCCACTACTTATGCGTCATACGCAAATCCATATACTGCGCATATATTACTATAAAATAGATGTCGAACGAAAAAAAAAAAAAATTTAAGAAAAAACATATGTGATTAAGCTTAAATAGAGAGATGAAATCTGTGATAATTAATTATGGTTCAAGTATAGAATTAGTAAAAGTTATTAATAATATTTCAAAGAAATATTACTACTACATGTCATGTAAGGTAAACTTACAGTAAATTTTTTATGGCACTTGAAAAAAAAAATTACTCGATAATTTTTTTATTTACAATAAATTTCGTTGCAGAATTATACAAGTATTATTTGATCTTAGATTTTTAGAGTTTTAAAATGACACGTTCAAGATTCTGACCAGAAGATTAATAGTATCGAAAAAAAAAAAAGGTGCAGGTAAGGCACACCTTCAAACCATTACCGCCTTGTTCTCATACAACAAATTAATTAACTATAAATATTTGCTAAAGATTCAATCAATTCAACTTTATATTTAATTTAAGAAATTTTTTTGTAGATATTAGTCAAAGTACATGGGCGCATTTGTATTTTGCTTTCTACTCCTCCAATGATTTATCTATATGTACTTGAACTTGTTTACTAGAATTAAATTGGAAACATGAAATTCAATTCAACGTTACTTGTTACCTATTCATATATTCCTTCTATTTTCGCAAATCTTATCATGTTCTCTCCTTCATTTATGAAACTTTTATCCCATATAATGCTAAATTCCTATCTAAAAGAGATAGTTGAATGTAACATTCGGCAACCTTTTCACCTTCATTATCTTTTTAAATTTCAATTATCAAATAGAATTGCTATTGTTAACAATAGCATCTTTGATGACAATAATAATAATAGTTACATCAAAGCTATCCATGTCAATAATTTCAAGATTTTCAGTGAGCAACAATTGCGCTTAATGGAAATTGCGCATTGAAAATTGAAATTTGCAAAAAGTTATAAAAGTCAAACTTTTTCATGCGTCTCATCATTGATATGTGAACTTAGTTGACAGCAAAGATATAATTTAGTACCATGAAGTACTACCCAATATGTTGTCCATTTATGTCGGTCATTTTTCACCGGTTCTCCCATAGCCATTTCCTAACAAATAACAACATCACTTTGATATTGTTGTTAATTTGAAAAAAAAAAAAAAGAAAGAAAAAACAAAAATATTTCAAACTGTTAATTTCCTTCATTTAATTTCAGTAGTTAAAAAAAAAACATGCTTTTAAAAATAAGTGAATTTCTGCATACCATTGCATTGGCGTAATAATCACGTAAACTTACGTGATTCGAAAAAAACAAACAATAAATGATTTTAAAAAAGATGGAAGTTAAAATCGAGAATTTGAAATGTTTTAAACAATTTTCACTAACTTGATGCATAAGTTGGCCTTGTTTTTGTACATCTCCTAATGGTATTGGTGTAGCTAATAAAGATGCACTAATTGGTGTCGTAGTTGCTGTCGTTGAACGTTTTAGACGACGTCGAGATGGGAATCGTACAGTTGTAGGTGAGCTTGTTGTTTCCCAATGTTTTGTCTACAATAACATTTCCACTAAATATCACTTCCTTTTTCATATTCTTTACTTATAAATATTCAGAAATCAATTTATAAATGCTCAAAAGTATTATTTTTATACAATATTTTTCACGAAATTACATTTATTTACTTATCTTTTATCTGATAACGAAGTAGAGTGATTTTATCAGATATCACTTTATCAGTTATTATAAAGGAAAAGAAAAAATTCTTAGCAAAAATAATGACTGATAACAAGTTGATGCACACAGCTGTTAAAGATTTCTTTTTTTAAAAAAAATGGAACAAGTCATACGTCATATATCTCTCTATCCAACGTACAATTTTACAGGATCTGGAAGTATTTCAGTACTGGCGCAAAAAAAAAAGGAAAAAAACCGAAACTCGGATGGAACTTATTTATATATCTATGATAATTGATATCTTTTGTTAAGCTTATATAGTAATATTTAACTAATGGAGAATGTAATCTGATAAAACGTTATCAATTCGATAATTCTTCGATCAGTCCCAATCGATAGAAATATATTTTACATAATCAATCATTACGTCACGTAAAAGTATCTTTACTTTATATTTGAAATTGTAAAGATGCATTTGTAGGTATCAGAGATGAATAATTAAATTTATCTATCAGGTAATAATAGTACCTGTGTGTCACCAGAAGAAAAAAAACTGATAAAACGTTGAATTCGATGCGTGGTTGCTGGTACGTGAACGCTTGTTGAAGCGCTATGATTAGGAGAATAGAATGTAGAAGATGTTGTTTGGGCAAATATTGGTGATGAAGTATCTCCACAACTATTACCATGTAATTCCTCTGATGATGAAAGACGCCTGCAAAAGCATTTGAAAAGAAAAAAAAAAAAAAAAACTTTCAAAAATTCTTTAAAACAAAAAAATAAAAATAAAAAAACAAGCGTTGCAATTTTCTTGTCTTATTCGAGAAAAGTTATCTAATGATTTTAAAAATTTTCTTTTCTTCATGAAAAAATTTTAGACATTTACAAACAGTATTGCTATTCTAAATTATTAAGTAATTAATATGAGTTAAATGTTATCATAAAATGAATGATTTAAAAGATATACAATGAATTTTGAGCAAATGTCACAATGGAACAGCGCACGTGATTAAATCTTTGTAGTATTTTAAGCGAATTATTATTTGACAATAGCAGGTTATTCGAACTTAAAATGTAAATTCGATTAATTATTATGGAAGAAAATAAATTGGAAATGGAGAGAAAGAGAGAGAGAGAGATAAAAGAGTTAAGTGTTTATGTACAAATGCGATCTTCTTTTATTTGATTGCATAAAATGAATCAAAACCCTTTTTTCAACTAATTAAAATAAAATAAAACAAAAATGCCTCATTTTTCTCTCTCATAAATAATCATCGGAAATTTTAATGCAATCAACTCAAAATTTTAGTAACATTTTACATGAAGCATTTGGAAGGCGCAATTGTCCAAATGTTGAAAAATGTAAATATAAACAACTTTGTCATACTTTGAACACAAATAAATTTTTTTTTTCTAAAAAAAAAAGAAAACATACAACGCGTAGTTTACAATCTTATTTATGATTTCGTTTATTTCAAGAACAAATTTCTTAACTTTTTAATTGAAATGAAACGATTTTAATAGTTTTTTTCTTCCGGAATAAAAACGAAAAAAAAAATCGTTTCTTTTTCTTTCCTTTCCTTTTAATTGAAATGAAACAATCTTTAACGGTTTTCCTTTCCGGAATAAAAATGAAAAAAAAGCTTAACAAAACCAATTTTTCGACTTTATAATTGAAATGAAACCATTTTAACAGTTTTCTTTTTCGGGTTAAAAACGGGAAGAAAGTTTAGCAAAACTGACTGAAGTAAAATTAAGTAAAAAGACAAAAAAAAAAAACAGTCGGATGAAATGAGAATGAATGGGGCTGTTTTTTTTTGTTGTTGTTGTTAAAATGATATGCCAGTGATAAGGGCAAAAGAGAAAGAAAGAAACCTTACAGGAATGTTATCACTTCATAAAAACTATTTTTCTTTCACTATCCAAAAATGTTTTATATGAAAAAAAAAAAAGACTACGTTGCTAAAAACATTTCAGGCGCTGCTATCATTTCTGCAACAAATGCGCCTTTAAAATGTAATAATTGTAGGAATAATATATAATTTCAAATTTCTAGACAGAAGTCTTTTTAGACCGAAAAAAAAAATGTAAAATGTAAAACGAAATATCATTTTTTGAATTGAATTAAACTAACAGATAATTTCATTATGAATTGATCATTAAATTTGTTTTTAGAATTTTGTTAAGTAATCTATCCCTTTTATATAATAAAAAATTTTACTATGAAGATTAGCATTAATTATTGTTCCTCGTTAATTAAGCTTAATGAATTAGCATTTATCCGGCCAGAAAAAGGATAGTATATTTTTATTTTTATTTTCCTTTTTAAACTGAATTATAGATGTACAATCTATGATGCTAATACAATTATGCGTAATAATTGAATTTCAGAGGTTATGCTAATTTCAAAAAAAACCAAAAGTTAGAAAGATGAAATGAACTGTTTGTTATGGATTGGTTTAGCGGAAATATGATACCATTTACTAGTTACGGTGAAAGATGAATTCAGAATTCATTCATCAATATGCAGAAATGTTTTAATGATAAAAAAGGAAGACATAGGGATAGGGAAGAAGAACAGGTAAGATGGAATATATAATGAGCTTGATTTAATCAATCCATATATGTCTATCTATATACCTCCTCCACTCCCATTAGAAACACTTAAATATTTGTCTCCTCCTATAAGGCGCCAAATGAATTGAATCAAAAAAAAAATTTATGCAATTTTCAATTGGAAAATATCTCCCAATGCTATTGTCGCTTTCATTTTACAGGACATTTAAATGTAACTATGAAACTTTAATACAGGTTAGGTAAACTATTCCCACATCATTCTTGTCTATAATTCCGGTGAATCGCGGGAAAGAGCAATGCAATAAACGAATGAATTGAAACTTTCCATATCCAATTAAATCTAAAACTTAACCTTTTACATTTGGAAGAAAAAAACTTTTTCAAACTACTACTACCATTTATTGTTAATATTGATGATATCGTATTTCTTTTTCATACTATTTTATCAGGTGACATATTTCTTTTTCTTTTTTTGTTGTTGAGAGAAAAACATAGATAACATTTAGTAGTACTTGTAATGGGAAGAAATGAATAAGGAAGAGATAAGGAGGAAGAAGAGGGAGGTAAGTAATCTGTTAATTTTTAAATTTCAAAGATTTTTCTTTTTTCTTTTTTATGGTATTTAAAGAATTTCGGGAAATAAATGAATGAATGAATGAAAAAAATTTTCTACGAATGAAATTGGCTGTCAATAAAATTCAAAATTTATACACCTATGGTTGTATGAATTTTCGAAAATAAATTAATTAATAAAAAATTTTGAGTTCAATTCGAAATGACAATGAAAGATACAGTGGGAGAGAGAGGGAGAGAGAGAGAGGAGGGAGAGGATGAGGAACTGAATGATTGCAATGAAATAATGGCAAAAGAGAAATGAATTAATTACAAAATGTCAGAACAGAAAAAAAAATTTATTTGAAAAGATTTGAAATAAAATTTGCATAATTTCAAGGAAATCCTAATAATGTAAAGGTAAAAAAAATGGAAGTTTATGATTGAAATTTCAATTTTACGATTGAAATTTTCAAATTAACAATAAAAAAAAACTGATCGTTCTCTCTCTCTCTCTCTCCCTTTGTTCCTTTTGAAAGTTTATGCAATCTTTTCCTCTTTCTCTCTCTCTCTCCCCCTTACAGATATATGATATGACATATCAAAGCATGAATTTGTATCTTCAGGAAACGATAATGACAATTCCTTGGATATTAGTCGTAAAGGTTTACCTAACCGTTTGTTTACCTTTTTCATCTCATCAATTCTTTTTTTTTTGTTGAAAGGAAGTAAACAGTAACCAGTGAATAGCTAGCTGAATGGGGAAAAACTACAAATTTATTCATCTCTGTGTGTGTGTATATGTGTTTGTGTGTGTGCGTGTGTGCATGTATGTATATGCGTGTGTGTGTATGTATATATATATATGTGTGTATGCGTGTGTGCGTGCGTTCGTGTGTGTGTGTGTGTGTGAAAAGACATGTGACGCCAGTAAGCAATTCTAAAGAACAAAGAGCCTGAACTAATGATAACTACTCTTACCGCCATTATCATTAGTGACAATTTCTTGAAATACTGTGAAACCAAACTTGTGACAAACATAACGAACTGCAAAGAAACCAGGAGACAGAGATAGAATAATTCCTGAATAATCTCCCGCGTTCCCGAGATGGAAGGAGAACAGGAGACACAGATAGAATAATTCGTAAAGATCTTACGCACTTCCAAAAAATTATTTAATTCAATCCTCCTGAAAATAGAAAATTTCTCTTTAACACAAATTAACATTCTTTTTCCAGTGGATCATTTGAAAAAGTATTTATCAGATAAATCTCGAAAGGAAATGCTAGAATTTGTTTAATTAGCCAAAAATGTTTCGTCACAAAAGTTTGCAGTCCTCTCGTGACAATCTTTGTACGATAAGTTCTTTCTCAAGGACGCATATCTCTATGTGAAATACTACAACAACAGGTTTTAAAAGAGATGGTTTCTTTTGTAAATTTGGAAATGTATCAGGTTTTACTGCATATAAGAGTGTGACATGTCATATAAACAGATGCAAAGAGGACAAAGGGACGATGACAATCACGACCTTTCACGTGCGCTTATATGACGTGCAGAAAGAATAAACTGATTATTTCATTGCTTGGTGAGAAAAGGTTCTGTGCTATACTACTTCATTTGAGATGACTTAATTTTCAAGAATCATTGTAATTTAAATTTCAGAAATAAATATTTGAACAAAACACTATCAGCAGTAGCGGATATCTGCCTGCTCTACACTTACATATTCACTAAATTCGATTTTAAATAACTTCATTTCCGATATATTATTTCAATTTTTTCACTCAAAAGGTTTTTAATTTGTTTTAAAATAATTATTTTTGGATACTGTGAAGTGGTAAAGTGATCTTATCACTGCTAATCTTGTTTTTTTTTTTTTTTTTAGGTACAAAACTAAATCATCACCAGGTATAAATAAAACGAAATTACTCAACTGGATCATCTATCGATCATAATATGTTATGGGAAACTTTCATTGATTATGGAACCGGTTTCAATGAAGGAGCAATTGTAGCTAATGATAAGAGAGAGAAATGATAAGGAATTGCTAAATGTTTTCTAGTCAATTTACAAATGTAACAATGAGAGTGAAATTTCAATAATTGTTTAAAAAAAAAATCTTTTGATTATATCTTTTTTCTGGATTAGAGATTTAAAAAAAAATACAATTTTCAGTTTCAAAGCTCTATTGATAACTTGATTTAGACATTTTAATAATGCTTTTAGTAAAATTTACTAAATATTTGATTAATATTGCAATCTTCAAAAATCAATATTTTCAATTTATTTTTTATGATATCGACCAAATTTCTCATCTATATTATGCTAAAAAATTTTAACATGATAAGATATATATGTAGGAATGATAACTGTTCAATTTACTCTTCAATTTCAGACTATCTGGGAATGATATAATATACATTGCAAAAAAAAAAAAGAATCAAATATTAAGATGGGGAAGAATTAAAGATTCAAAAATTGGAAACAAAAAAAAAAAAGAAGACTGCATTTGTCCCTATTTGATTCATTTATCCCATCAAAAGGGAAAGTCAATTTGTGCTAATTTTAAAAATTTTAGAAATGAATTGAAGCATGAAAGTTAAATATGGTAAAGGAAGCATAAAAGAGGATTTCATTCATTCATTCATCCATCCATTGGAATAACCTTCCTCTTTCTGGCATATATTTGGAATGGAAGTAGTAATCTGCCTTGTCTTCCATCCAATCAACGAATGCAAGAAATTAAATTTCTAATTGATTGAGGGAGGGTAAATAATGATGATTTAGCTAAGCAAAAATTCTAAACGATATATGTTGACAACAATCACAATTTATCATCCCCTCAATATAAATCCAAATATACATACATATACATCTCACGAACCTTTGAACCTAACCTTTGTATTTTTATAAAATGATCAATCATTTGAGAGATTATAGTTTAGGATTTAAATTATGTTTCTTTTTTTTTTTGAACATTTCAAAGAAATAAAAAGCCTTAGAAAATGTTAAGGTAAAATAATTTCAACAATAACAAATGATTGTACGATCTATTTGCCCCAAAGAATAATCAACAATTTAGTTATTAGGCCAAAAAGTAAATATCTTGCAAGCCTGATGGGAATTAATACCTAACTCTCCTACCAATAAAGAGATTGATTGATAGATATATTCCGTATAGGGATGAAATGAAAAGTTCATTATTTTTACGACCAAACATTTCTTCCATTCAAATAGATGATATAAGACTGGGGAAATAAAACACAACTCTTAGCAACTAACTGAAACATACCTTCCGGAAATCTAATCTTTCGTCCGGAAATTTTCGAAGATAAAAGTAAATTATACTCATATCACATATATTACTTTATTAAAACGTATTGTATGTATATGTACGTGAGTGTATGTGTATGTATGTGTGTGTGTGTGTGTGTGTGTGTGTTCGGACTAATACCAAATTATTATTACATGTATCACTTACTGTATACACATGTAAAAATTCTTCGCTTTTTCAATTCTCCTAAGTAACAACAGAAATTATAATAATTATCAATTATATTAGTCTACATATGATTGATTGATTAATGACTCACCTCAAGCGCAAAAGTTCAAAGTTAAGAGCGAAAAATATTTGCACACAAGCGGATTCAGATAAAAGCTTCATGTAGCACAAACAGAATATAAAGACACAGACAGACAGACAGACACACACACACACAGACACAGACACACATATTGGCGCTATTATCTCAATCAATCAATCAACCAATCACGTGAGCGATCGATATAATATTACAAAAGAAATGTAAAAAGTATTTATGGGAAAGTTTCAACGTTTTACAACAAAAGATGTTATTCTTTCCGCCAAAGAAAAAGCGCTTTTGACGACGATACATGTGACTTTAGTCAACATAATGCGCTGTTGTTTGTGTCAACTTTGTAAATTGAATGAATTACTTATTGTTGAAGAGATGGAAAAACCATTTTTAAATTTTCAAATTAATTCATTCCTCTAAAATAATTCTTCTATCTCACTAGAAATGTTAAATCAAAAATGTCATCAAATAATAGAAATGTTTGGTGATGCTAATTAAGTGATGCTATTCATAGCTAATATTTAGAAAAAAAAGCATTTAGGTAAGCAAATGTTAAAATTATTTTTGGATATTGAGAATTTCGATATTTGGATGACTTGTTCGCTAATTAACCAATTGAGCTCATTAATTACTTTATATTTGCGAAATACGTGAAATATTTGCGTATTTGAGAGATATGAAAATATTAATTTTTGGTAAAGAAATTCTTTCAATGAAAATTTCGCAGTTATGAAGAGATGAGATGAGGAAGAAAGGGAAACTTTGGGAATCAATTCTTTTGTCCTGTCACATTTTTTTTGTTGTCACCAAATTTAAATCAAATTTTGTAAAAGTAAAACCTACTTGACAATGGGTGGGGATGCATTTTGGGTTACAACTAAATCATCACCAGCCGATAACGTTGAACCGGAGCTTGTAGCCATCACGTATGATCTAGGTCGTCGTCGATGTCGACATCGGGATCCATTGAGATCATTATGGATATCGTTGAATAGATACGATAATCCTGAAATGGAACAAGCATTGACCCGAATGATTTATTCAGAGAAGAAGAACAACAATCAATCCTATCCGCTTTATTTTCAGCGCCTTTTTTCTCATCTCTAACAACATCGACCATTTCCGCTTCTCATTTTACATTTCTGAATTCACTATTATCTATACCTTATATTTATATCATTCCACAAAAAAAACATTCAAAATTAATCATTCAATTAGTTAATGAATGACTTTCCTGAATATCCATTTCAAAAATGAGGAAGAAAATTTTTTCAACTTTTTGTTGATGACAATTTTTGCAATTGTAAAATACTAAAAAGCAATACGCTTTTAACAAATTCAACCTAATCTATTCCAATTCCGCAAATGTCACATTACCATTTCTTCTCATCATGACAAATTTAATTTTCAAAAAATTTTTATATTTTGAAAAATTATTGAAAAAAATTTTCGAAATCCTTAAAAAAATTTTTTTTTTTTTGCAAAACGAAAAAAATGCACTTTTTCAAAGAAATTTACACCATAAAGGAGAATATTTTTAGCAGAAGAGAGAGGGATAAAATAATCTTTCCATTAAATATTTGACAATACCGCCCCAAAAATTTTACATCATTTTCATGCCAAAAATGAATAATTCAGCCACAAATACAAAAATATTTTGGAATTGGATAATAAAAACTTTTATGATCAAATTTAGTCTAAAAAATTTTCCCATCAAATTTATTATATAATTTTTACAAACTAATTTATTATACAACTTTATAAACTTTACAAACTTCATAAACCGCAAATATATAAATTTGTTACATAATTTTACAAACTTTTTTTCTAGCCAAGATAAAAATAATTTAAGTTATGGTTATATCTACCTACAACTTATGATATGTTCTAATAGTTCATTAAAAATATCGTAATGATCTTTAAGATTACATTTACAAGAATAATATCATTGATTACACATTACTGTACTTTACTGTTATTAGATAATTGTAAATATTGAAAATGAAGATTACAAATTAAACAAAACTATGTAAAACTTTTAGCAATGTATGAGGAAGTATATTTAAACTAAAAATATATTGCAAAGAATGGAAGGGAAAAAATTAATGATAAATTAGCTTAATTTTAATTAGCAAAATTTTTACTAATTTTTAACAGAAATGGGAAATTTCTTAGAATTTTAAACTTTTCCAATAATTTCATTTCTACAAAGAAAGAAAAAAAAGAAAAAAGAAATAAAAATGTTTAGGAAAAAGGAAAAAATCTTTAAGAAAGCAGGAAGTAATACATATGTCAGCTTTTTAGACTATTATTATTATTAACAAATGTGATAGAATAGAAGAGTAAAATATCTCAACTCTATCAACACTTCTTCTATAACATATCAGCAGATTCTTTGTTCCACAAAATTTCATAAAATATAGCGAAAATTTGAAATTCACACAATCATAAATCAGTGTAAAATTTAGCAATATCTGCAGCACCAATAGCAACAACAGGAAAAGCAAATAGCACATTGTTGCTGCAACAATAGTCTAAAAATGCTGACACTCTAAGTTGGATTACTTTGCAGTATTCGCAGTATCACTAGCAGTAGTCGCAGCAGCAGCAGCAGCAGCACCAGTAGATGCAAGTAGTAATAGTAGTAGTTGCAGTAATAATAATCAAAAAAAAAAATGCCGATACTCGGAATGTTTGTAGTAATTGCAGGTATCAGTAGCAGTCGTCGTAGCAGCAGCAGCAGCAGGAGTAGATGGAAGTAGTAATAGTAGTAGCAGTAGTAGTAGCAGCTGCAGCAATAATAATCAAAAAAAAATGCCGATATTCTGAAGTCGGAATGTATCTTTGAAAAGAATTTATTCAATTTAAAATACTCCCTAAAAATTGTCATTTTTAGGGAGAGAAATAATGCATTATTTATGATTAATGTGTTGGAAATTTTTTTTGCATTGTATGTTTTATAAATGAATGAAACAGTTGTGAGAAATATGATAAAGATTGGGGGTAAAGTATTTCATCCAAAATATGTCAAACATATAAATTATTAAATTGCAATAAAATCCTATCCTCCATTAAGTCTTTATTCATTTGTTTTCAAATGAAGCCAAATAGTCAAACTAAGCCAAAAAAAAAGCCAATTACTTCGAAACTTATTGGACCATTCATAATCGGTGAATTGGATTAAGATAATATTAATGATACAATTATGATTACTGAAGTATGGAATGAACGATGACAATCGTGTCATAGTATCCTATAATGGATATTTATAAGAAACTGAAATTGAATCAGCCATTCAATATCTTTTAAAATCAATTCAGAACAAGAAAATTTTTTCTTTTTTTATATTTACTTCTCTGACCTTATGAATGAGGCCAGAAGTAAAACATCGAAGATAGACTGATAATATATTTAAGATTCGTGAATTACATGAAATCCTTAAGAAATCTAACAAGAATATGAGAAATATTTTTGAAAGTAGTGAATTAATTCAACGTAGTGAAGCCAAGCCAAAACTATTATTTGGCCAACCTTTAACCAGCCAACAATGAAGATACTTTGATTGTTCAAACTGCATTAATCACTGATGCTGAAAGGATCATGAAGTTACTTCCATTTTAGGGTATTAGAAAATTAACAAATGAAGGCTAGATGGCATCATCTTGCTAACTTTTGAGGAATTAAGCAATTTATAATCGGAATGTTCCTGAACCAGAATGAAGCGATATGAAGTGTAACATCAGTATCAATATCATCTTCCTATCCTTTGGCTTTTTCTTCCATCTCCCATCTCATTTCATTTTTATTTCTCACCTGAATTTTCTCATCCTTTCATTATTTATGTAGAAAAATAAGCCCACACAATTGTCATCCTAATCAAGATACGGCACTTCCCTAGATGGATCAGTCACATAAACAAACTTTCAATGCATGAAAGTGATACTGATGAATGCCAAAAATAGTTGTTTGCCAAAAGTTTCTTAATTGCAAAAAAAAAAAGAAAAGTCTCAATTCATATAATTAGAAAAGTGTATTACAGAAGTAACAGTAGTATTCGTGATATCCATATACTATGATACGATAAAAAACTTTTCAAAAATTTTAAAATATCAAGAAAACGAAGAATTCCCACAAACAAGACAAAATTGTTGTCATTTTAAAATTGTTGTCATTTAAACTTTTCGCTAATATAAAATGAAAAATGTATGAAAATGCTTGATTTTTCTCAATTTTACACTAAATTTTCGATGGAAAAATTTACATTTTATAAAATTTAGCGAATTTACGTTAATACTTTGTTATAAATGGAAAAATTTTGAAAATTTTTGTTCATTTTTCCAACATACTTTTTAAGCTTCTTGAGGTTTTTTTTTTTCCTGAAAAATGAGAAAGTACCAAAGTATCGAAGTAATACTATTGTAATGTTCCGATTAAAATTACATTAAACTTTAAACAAATACATAAAAACTGATAAGGGGAAACGAATGCCATCATAAGGAAAAAGAGTGTCACCATCAAATACAATTATTGCAACGACAACGAGAAAAAGGAAAAACTTTAATTATTAAATAAAGAGATATGAATTGAATTCAGAGAGTTTCAAATTTGAATTTTTTGCTTAGAGTACTTGAATACAACAAATGAGCATAAATCATATCAATCGTTAATTTATTTATGCAACAATTATTTGTTTCTTCTTTTGAATAGTTTTGATGTGATATGAAGTGATTGATAACTGATAACTGCTGGGATTGGTAATTGATAATTGTTGGGATGATAAAAAAGAACATTTCGGATGTATGGTATACATGTCGAAAGTTTCATGAAGATTTTTGATCAAATTATTGATGTCATCATTTTAAACAATAGTCTCGAAAAGCTCAATCTACTAGCAATTTCATTATTAGTATCGAGACTACGGTAATGACCAAGAGTTACAAAGATGAATAGAAGTAGTTTGAAATGGTCGAAACAGATGAGTAAACATAAAGCGCAATGAAACCTTTAGTAGAGACACATTACGTCAGTTAACATAATCCGCTTTTCCAATCCGTAATTGATTAACTTCTCCTCTTTTTCCTGTACTCCCCGCTCCCCCGCTCCCCGCCTCCTTACTTCCTACTGGAATACTCGATATTGTGTTCTATGAATCGTAACGATAATTTACAACAAAAAAAAAGAAGGAATACAAATAGCTCTCCCTCGGAATAATTTTGCCAGTTTGTCTCATTTCCCCAGAGAATGAACAAAATTAGGATTTATTTGGCATATGCAAAAGTTTCATCAAAAATAAAATGCAACGATAAGAGAGAAAAATGTTATCATCAACTATCACCCGATTAAATATTCAGGATACTGTACTACTTAACACTGATATGATTCCGGTTTCAGGTATGTATCTGATCATAAACATCTAACAACTTAAGAAATCAATTTGGGATATATGGTAATTATCGGTAGTCTTATTGAATCCCACGAAAGAATTACATTTGTTGAGAGATAATTACGATAAGTTAAAAAATAATCAATTGAAGATATCTGCTTGAAATTTTGGTTTTAAAATGAAAATTAGTGTAACTGTTGTTTCATTAAATGTAAAAATGAATGAACATTGATAACTGATAAGAGCAAATCTTATCACTTCTAAAATATCCATAATTCATTATGCCAAATGATGCGATGGCATTATTGGGAAATTTAAGAGGAATGAGTAATAAGCTGAATAATTTTCTATAGTTTTCTTTGAGATCAAGGGTTATAAGATCAAAATTTTGAAGTCTGATATTTCAGTTTCATAAAACGTCACAACTGATGTCACCTTGTCAACTTTTCAGTGTAACATCGAAAATATGACTATAGATCAAACGTTTCTCAAATAAGTGAGGTAAAATGGATAGAAAAAAAAGATTGAAAAGAACTGTCAATTGGAAAAAAAAAAGAGGAATGGAAATCAATCGTGATTTCCTCATCGGTAAAGTTATCCATTTTAGTAATGTTACCACCTGAAAGGAGCTAAATAGATCAAAAGGTTAGATAGCGTCGGAATGGTCGAGAAAGTGTCGGAAAAGAGGTGAGTGAGACAGTACCGGAAAGGTCGAGAAAGCGCC